GAATCGTACGGTGTCGAATAATTTGGTGTCGAATAAATCTGTGTCGAATCGAGCGGTGTCGAATCGTACTGTGGTCAAACGGAACACGCCCTAATTGCACCTTTAATATACAATATGCGTACTAAACTGGAGAAAGATATGCCGCTTAATATGACGCTAAGCGATCGTAAGATCGAGTACGCGCACTGGGACGATCCCAATGAACTCGTCGACCGTCTGCGATTGCTAGACGCATCCCGTCAGGCAGGCAATAATTCTCACGACAACGAAATCCTGTCGACCATCGAGGAACTCCGCGAAGCGGGATTCATTATAAATTAAATAGCGCGTCGGCGTTAGTCAGTCGTGTGCGCGTCATCATGCCAATCAACAAATTTGGAATATCGCTCGGAACACATGAAGCGCAACTTGATACCGACATTGACGCCGCCAACAAACGATATGTAGAAATGTGTGTCACGAGTGTGAATAAATGGCAAGAGACACGTGAGAGAAAAATTATCGCATTGCAACAAGACGTGCAAGCGTTGCGCGACGCTATAAAACACATTCAGCGTACACTTCAATATCTATCAAACCAAAATAAAACGACTGACACGCCGAAGTAAACATATAGTAAAACATCTATGGCGACGAATCGTGTTACACTCAAAAAACAACGTTTTGTAGAAGAGGTGCATGCTCCGGCAAGAAGAAATTTTCACCGTAAACGCATTATTGTACGCGAGTACGATGATCTCTGGCAAGCGGATGTGGTAGAGATGCGTCCGTATTCGCGCTTCAACAGAGTCGACCACTACATTTTTACGGTTATCGATGTGCTGAGCAAGTATGGGTGAGCCATACCGCTTATGAGTAAGAGTGGGTGTGAAGTCGCCAAAAGTTTTGCAGGAATATTTCGGGATAACAAACAATGTCCAAACAATTTGCAAACTGACTGTGGAAAGGAATTCTACAATATAGATGTACAAACACTAATGAAAAAGCATAACATTAATCATTATTCCACATATTTTGTTATGAAGGCTTTAATTGTAGAACGATTCAACCGTACGTTGAAGAACGACATGTGGAAACAATTTACACTTAATAGATCCTACAAATGGATCGACATATTACCGCGTCTATTTATGGAGTACAACGCGAGAAAACATCGAACTATTGGTTTGCGACCTATCAATGTTACCCCAGCAATCGCCGAGAAGCTCTTAACCACGGTGTACAGCAATGTCAAGATCGCAGGGCCAGCACGATTCAAAGTAGGTGATTCGGTACGTGTGAGCAAATTTAAAACATTATTCGATAAACGATATACGCCAAATTGGACTACCAAAGTATTTAAAATCAGTAAAATACAAACAACTTATCCTGTGACGTATCTGCTTGAGGATTCACGCGGACAATTTGTTGCTGGAGGATTCTACAAATACGAACTGCATCGCGTTGCACATCCAGACGTTTATCTCGTGGAAAAAGTATTACGCAAAAAAAGTGACAAGATTTATGTGAAGTGGCTAGGATTAGATAAGTCATATAACTCTTGGATAAATAAAACTAATGTTTTGTAAACACATTATATACGGAATGTATATAAATTACAAAATATGTACATAATTATTACACATATTAAATGACACTATATGCATATAATATACATATACATATAATATACATACAATCTATATTATACAAAGTTTTCTTGTGGTATTTTATAATGTCCCCATGGTAATGTTTCAGTAGAATCGGGTACGATATACCGCTTATCGTCATACGGAGTTAGAGCAAGTTTTGATTCGGACACAGTATATACTTCGTGTAACTTTGATCGTATACATGACTGTCGGCATACCTTTTCAGTTACATCGTTCAAACTGTTTGTAATCGTCGAACGTTATTGTTCGCGCTACGACGCTACTCTTTACACCTTTGACCTTTTTTGAGTCTCTCTTTCCATCCACTTTCAATGCGTACATTTTTCCTCTAAGTCCGATGAATTCAGTCATTATCATTCCATTATTTTCATCCTTCATCAATCCTGGAACCTTTTTGTTGACGCGCGGCATACTATACACGTTATCAGCCGGATAATCACTTGTATCGAATCTTACAATGTCACGGTTTATGATATTGTACACATCCTCGCATTTAATGAAATAAATAAGACTGTCTGTGTCGGTGTACATAATTTTGCATTTCTCTCGATACAAAGGTGCCATGTAATCATGGTGAAATTCATACACACACGTTTTGGATATGTCTAATATACACATTCCTACGTATATCGGTTTGTTAAATTTCACTTCGAGTTTACGCAATTCAACTGCAATAAAATTTTCAGAAAAAACGCTTTGACTATAAAAATTTGCTCAAGAAATCAATGCTTCCGCACTATATCTACCATCTTACTGTGTTAAAAGTTTTATATCTACATGATTTTGCACATTTTCCATAAATTTGCCAAAAACTGCATAATTCATTAATTTGTACAAATTTTTCTCATAGTCGTTGGTAGCAAGTGTTCGAAATTATGTATTTAATTCGATATAGCTGCGGAGCCATGGAAATTGCGCAAATTGTAGTACGCGATGAATCTTCATAATACGAAGATCGTGTCACACACATTGTTGCAGAGCGCGATAATAACTGATATAACGCCTTTTGTTATGCAATGTTGCAAGCAGCTTCTCCTGTTGTTTGCCAGGCGGCTAATTGCGTGTCGGGCAGAACGGTAGGTCAGTGTGCGCGTCGTGCAATTCGCGAAGATACTCGAGGTCGACTTCAAGGATGTAACCGATATCTGAGGTTGATGTCGCAGACATTACGTCGACACTCCAGACGTTGTCTACCCATTGGAATGCGGCATACGGTAATGGCTGACACATTGCCTAGCCATACAAGTTATTTATATCAAAGTACATGAGATACGACGTTGGTTTTGATGAATCGTACGTCTGCATGTACTTGTTATTAGCGTGCGCGTATCTTGCGCTGCACTGGCTAAAACTACCGCGTATACCGCGTATACCGCGTTCGATAAACATAACCATATCAACATCTGTGAGCAGGTCGAACGTTATGCCTGTGTGTTTTAGCATAGCGTCCCACGTGTAACCGGGTAAAGTATAATAATGCGCGGAATCTAATCCGTAACTTCGGATACAACTTTCTCGAAAATTCTCAAATATATCTGCCAATAATAAAACATCATTTTTTAAATATAAATTGCTGTATTCACCTAACGTACGTATCGAGAATCGTTGCTAGATGTTTACAGCGTGTGCATATTCACTCAGATATTGTTTCACCGGTCAGAGAACTGTAAAATGACTCGCGCGGTGGTAACAGCTGCTCTTGCAACTTGTCGACACAGTCTACGTAGTTGTATGGAAAGTCACCTTTACGCGCTAATAATTCAAAATTTTCGACGGATAAATTTCTGAATTTTGATTGTAATATTTTCAACTTGTCTTTATGAAGAAACGATGCTAATTTTTCGAGACTAGCACTGAGAAATTTGTATGAATCGATAAATCTCAAGTCTATATTGTAACTCTTTGAAGTATTTTTTTCCGGTTGCGTGACGTTCTTGAGAAAAGATATGTGTCTTCCTTTGTTAATAGGGAGAACAGTAACTTTTCCTTCAAATGCAGTCGCAACTTCTTTAATAATAAATGGTGCATCGTAACCGAATAAATTGTGAAAAATTACTGGAATACAATGCGAATCTTTATAATTTAAGTTGGAGTGCGCGGGACCTCTGTATCGACCGGTCAGATGACAATGATAGCGAACTCTTGTATCATCCGCTTCGAATGGTTTTTCACACACGTGACAGTAACTCGTATTACGATAAGCTGACTTTTGTTCTTCTGTTAACTATTCCATGGACACATTAGTAGATAAAATAGTTTTTACCCGATGAGCCAATTCCTTGAGTTCTTCAACAAACCATGTGATGCAATTTTTGCCGCGACGATACCGATAAGCAGAGAAAGAGTCGTTGTATGAGCAGCAGGGGCGTGTTCCGTTTGACCACAGTACGATTCGACACCGCTCGATTCGACACAGATTTATTCGACACCAAATTATT